GTATATATATTGGTATATATATATATATATATATATACATACATTATATATGTATATATATATATATATATAGGTATGTATGTATGTATGTATATATATATATTTGGCTGCAACCAATATATATATATGCGTTTTTACAAGACATATTTTACTTTTTGAATTGATGTGAACCGTTTTGTTTCCCCCAGAGACCAAGTTTGCGGCACTGCAAATCACGGCCTCCGTTCGAAATCTTTGAATGATATATAGCGCATTGCGTAATGTGAGAACAGAATATCAAACCACTTGGTAGAGCCTAAACCCTAAACCCTAAACCCTAAACTCTGCCGGCACTTCTCTGGGTCTTAAAAATCTATTTATATCTCGCCCCAACTTCTGTACAGAGATGTGGACTACAATCCGATCACAACGTTTCCAATCGCCGTAATTCATGACATCCCAGCGCTGGAAGTCCTGTAAGTTGGCACACAATGCAACCATACACATATACCTACATGCACATACCTACATGCATATATACCTTCATGCACATATACCTACATACATATTGATCTTAATTAAGGTACTCGTGGAATCATCACGCCCACCCCTTTCTGGCTTCTAATTGTGTCTGCCAGCGATACATAATACCATGTATTACTGGTGAAGTTGGATAATGAATATATAGGCGTATGGCCCTACACCCACACAAAAGGAATAGGACTGCAGCGTCGCAAATGGGTCTATCGTTGTTGGCTTTACCGAGCCCCTAGCCTTGTCTTATATCTCGCCCTGTGTGAGAGTTCAATTATACCAAATACAGAACTGCGCGCACCTTTCTCAAAGAAAGTCGTTTATATACTAAACCTAGCACAGGGAACTGTACACACACTTTTCATAAACGTGTATAGATAGCCCTGTACAGTGCACAGCGCACATACACCCTTCGTAAACGTGTACAATTAACCCTACACAATGCTCAGCACACACACACACACACCTCGGTAAACGTACACACACACTCACCAACCACCCCCCCAAAAAAAATTACACACAGCCGATTTGCGCATATTCCTGTGAAGGGGTTCAACAACGAGGTCAAGAACATCATCTGTCCGGGCGAGAGGACCAAGACACACCCCAATGTCACCGCCACCATCTGCTGGAATCAAGGGACGTACGAGTTTGCCCAGGGCGACTACGACAAGGCTCGGGTGTGCTATACACGCACGGTGATGCGAGCTGAGCAGGATGGGAATGATGTCAATGAGATGGATACGGCCAGGTATGCGTTGGCACATATGCTATACAACGGCATGGTAGGTGAGAAGGAGCTTGCAGACTACACGGACGCATACAACTACCTGAAGTGTACTTCGTCGGAGTGTGTGGAGTGTCAGTTGAAGTTGGCGTACTACTTCTACGAGATCAAGCGCGACGATCCCTTGGCGGAGTTTAAAGACCCAACTACAGGTGAGACGGGCGGGCTCAAGGTGGGGTGTGTGTGTGTGGCATGTTCCGATCGTTCATGTTTATATTTTTCAGATATCAGTTACGACTTGCGTATGATCTTACCCCGGCTGATAGTGTTTGGTGTGGTGTGCTTGGACGTACAAGTATCCTTCTTCAAGTCGAAGTCCTGTGCTGGGTATCTGAGGCGTATGGGAGGGGTTGTGGGTGATCTCCCGGGCACTCTCAAAGTTCGTACCACACATGGTGCGTACAAACGGCATACTTCTACGCACCCACAATGCGTCTATAAATAGATCTACCTACCAAGGCACATACGACTCTACCATGCCGCTGTGTCTATAAATAGATCTACCTACCAAGACACTTATACGGCTCTACCATGCTGATCTGTCTATAAATAGGTCTACCTACCAAGAACAACACGCTCTCATGGAACATCATCGAAGCTGTCTTGGCTAACAGTTCATTGCCTGCGGATACACAAATCATGGCTTTGAACCAAGCGACGTGTAGGTAAGACCTGCTTGCCCTTGTGTGTACTAACGTATTCGGTGAACGTTCACGTATGCGTACGATTATTGGGGCGTGTATATCCAAAGATGTAGGCATTGTGCTGTATATAGGCCTTTTACGTTGCGATATTTTTGAGTATGTGGGGATGGGGCAGAATGCCGGAGAAGACTTGGCGTGACCATTCGCGTGTGCGTAGGTAGTTATATGCGTGGGTGGGGATAGGTATACTGTTGTGATAGTGCAATGTTGTGATAGTGTAGGTAGTCATATTCACATACATATATACACGTGTATATTTATGTATA